AACTTGAAAATAAGTCAGCGATAGCGTTACATGCGTTAGAAACAGGACACAAGATTAATTTTGAAGGGACCAAAATACTTCAGAAAGGTTTTAAAACCCATAAAGAAAGATTGACAGCAGAAGCTCTGCATATATGGGCGAACAAGAACAGCCTGAACCGAAAAGATGGTATTCAAATGGCAACTACCTGGCAAATTCCGTTTGACAAGTAAATTTGGAACCTATCTCTTGTTTAAACCTGTTTTTTAATATCACATGCATCGTTATTATTATTGAAAGAACTGAATGAGTTTCTAAACAATACAATTTATGTTTTGACATGCACATCGATCTTTCATTATCAAGTTTTTCATCCTTGAACTTGAACTTTATTTATTCCTTCATATCAATCTCTCACACATGCATACATACATACACACTCACACACATACGATTTGTTACTCAGTTAAGTATTTCCATGTAGTTGAATTCATCACATGATTTGTAGTCAACTGACTCATTTTATCCTATTTTACAAAAAATCAACACCCAAATATGATTGGTTTAACACAGTATAATCCTGATTGTTAAAAGCTATATATTTCTTTGATAATTTTGATTTTGATTATTACCCTGAAGAAGTCCAGACAAGTTAGCTGGACGAAACGTTGGAATTAGTTAAATTTCAATCGCTGAGAATATTTCAAATATAATTTTCACATATAATGACTTCTCTATACTCGGCGCTCAATTACTGTCAAACTATTCGTTCTAATCTTGACGAATATTCGTATAAATTGCCTATGTACATTCTTGCAGTAAAACTCAATGGATATTTTCCCATTATTCACATTTATCGATTAAATAATATATGTGTGATATGATTGGTTTCCAAGTTAAATCCGGATGTCAATCATTTAGCCCAATAATTACAGATAACGAAACAAAATTTTCAGTTGCTCTCTTTCACTGTAACGGAAAGACAAAATTTGGATAAGTTCTACCAATGGGACACTAGATACTAGATAATTAGTATCATATAATTAAACACATGATTTGACACTTGATCACAGTACTAGATCACGTAATACACCTGACTCACTTATCCGTCCAATAATCAACATCAAGATATAGGCCAAAACGAACGCTTATTAACACTGAATACGAAGTAGTTAACAGTAATATCGAATTAGGATCTGTCTTGCATATAAAATAGTCTCTTGTATCTAGTATTGCCGACATGTATATCTTCACTCACTAGCTAATCACACCTTTCGTTCTCCGAAACATCAGTTCTGTTATTGTATGGTCTTATTAGTGTTTTTGCATTAAGTTCTACTGAGTATCGATTTCTTTTTGTCCATATTGTGATCTTATTCTACCATTGGAGTTCATTTGTTTTTGCAATCATTTAGGTAGCTGTTCAGCCCCTCTACTTGCAGATCACGATTACCCCTTTCTATGTGTGTATTTCCCCACATACGTGTAAATCGATAAACTTATTGGTTGGGATGTGTCACAGCCATTCACATGCTGTTTGTGTTTTCGGTAAAACATAAGTCTTGACTTTTCGATAGTTATGAGTTTGGCTGCGTAAAATGTCTTACTGATAGCTAATTTAAGTCTTTGACCCAACATTAGACTATCATAGTTGTATCCAAATAATTGTGTGACATAGACCTGTTTGTTGAGTGCCTAAAGCGTAATGGATCTCGTGGTACTTCTGCTTTTCTATAGGCTTATAAACTTCAACGAACAACTATTATTCACCAATGTTTCAATTACGAGCTTTACTTTTCCCACAGTAATATCTTCTGTGCGAATACTATTGGTTCTATTTAATAAGCCCTTTATTAAACCACATCCGTCCTGGATTGCACAGTGACTGTAAACTAAGGTGCTATCCTATCCATGTTGACTTTCTTTACATAGAATGTTTGATGGAACAAGCATTCTTCCACTAATTAGTATGTTTAGAAAGGGGAGTTGGTTATTCATCTCTTCACATGTAAGACAAACGTGCTTTTGGAGTGTGTTGAGTTCCTTAAACAACTGGTTTACATCTTCGCATTTCGTCCACGTGCCGCTTACATAAAAACATCTTTTGAATTTAGTCTTCAACTAGATTTTCTACATATGCCATAAACACATTAGCCAGGAATGGTCATAAAAGAACTACGCATAAATACGCCATCAATCTGTCAACTGAAATCCTCTTCCAAAGGTGATTTCACATTGTCCGGACATAAAAATAATAACAATAAATCCTTTTACAGGAAATAAAAATTGAAACTTATTTAATAAAATATAGTTACACAAAATAACAATATTCTTCCCTAGAGATACATTTGTAAATAATGCGTTTACATCACGAGAGCCCATTGTCTTAGCTTGCATGCTAATATCCACTTATTAATTAATTTGAATGAATCTTTCAAAGAATACTTGGAAAATTTGTCGCGAATAGGATTCAATACTTTTCTCAACTATTCTGCAAGATTACTCATAGATGACTGACAAGTGGATAGAATTGGACGTGAGAAGGTACTGGGTTTATAAAATTTTGGTAGTCCATATAAATGAGGATACATCAAATCCATAGGTTTCGAAATTAATTTTCTCTATTAATACCGTTCGTGTTAAGTAATGTCATTAAATTCGAGTTGATTTTCCTTCGTAATTTGTATAATCTCTCAGAGTCAACATCAGGAATAGATTTGCTTTCATCACTGATGTTGGATACTGTTTTTATTTTTTTAATCTGATATATTCATAACAGCAACAGCTGATCATTTGTCAGATTCAGCCAGAATAATATCAGTATTATTTCGCAATCTTGTCGACGATCTGAAATGACAAATTTATTATGCTTCTCTGCTTTAGTCTAGGGATATGCTATGCAGTATACCCACTATTTTAACTTTACTCCAACTTTGATTCTCTTAAGATGTAGAGGTTAAACTACTTAGCTGGTCATAAAGGGCCTTGATTGCCAATTCATACATTTGTGTTGTAGGGATAGAGCCCTTTGAAGTCTTCTAACTAGACGACATTTTTTTGGTAAGGATGCTGCTAATTTCCTATAATTTCTATAAATATAGTTATTTGGTTTTAAGTTTGGAAGTTTTACCGAATGGGATTTTACTGGTATTACATGTATGCTAGTATTTGGAGGTTACTTCACAGCACCGTATTTACGATACTTCCTCTTGTGTTGGATTTGGACAAAATACACAGGATTTTATTTATTTATTTATTTGAACACATAAATATTGGTACAAGAGAGCGCCAATATATATGCGCCACACAAAACAATGAGAATTCGAAGAGAAATAGAAAAAAAAGAGAACAATAACGAAGAGATTGGTGTAAGGTAGTGTGGTAGTAATGAGATAACGCAAAGGTACAATCGGAATAAATCTTTCATTTAAGGAAGATACAACCACTTTTTACGAAGAAAGTGAAAGAAGGTTACAGCAGGGTCGCCACTGGCTTCTATTCTGAGCCATATCTGATGACGTCTCTAGCCACTGTGTTGCACCATCTCTCAGACCCCAACCAGGGAGTCGTGAAGGACCGACAGAAGCCAGTCCTTTGCAGCTTTCTTTCATGCCACGACACCATGTCATGCACTGACAATCTCTCCGCTTCTTCCAACCAGTCCCAGAGTCGGCAAATAATGCACGACGTGGAATTCTCTGGGACGACATTCGTAGAACATGTCCAAGCCACCGAAGTCGATGTTTCAAGATGGTGACACCAATTGAATTATCATCTCTGTGCTCGAACACACGATGCCGAACCTCTGCATTACTGACATGGTGTTGCCACTGAATGTCAGCAATCCTTCGGAGACAGCGATGATCGAACACAGAGAGTCGTCTAACATCCTCAACTCGGAGAGACCAGGTTTCACAAGCATAGAGCAAAAATGCTCTCACCGACGCGTTGTAGATCCGACCTTTTACAGCCAGACTAACATCACGAAGGCGCCAAAGGTGGCCCAGATTGGCATAAGCCGCTCTGGCTTTCACTATACGTGCATTGATCTCATCACCCCCAGCACTTATGCAGCTACCCAGATACACGAACTTCTCGACTACGTCTATCTGCTCACCATCCAGGGGGAGTACAGGATTAGAATCCTGCCAGTCTTGTAGAAGTACTTTGCACTTCGAAGGTGCAAAGCACATACCATACCTACGGACACTGATTGTCAACTGATTAAGTGCGGATTACATGGCTTGGACATTATCGCACAGTAAGACAATATCATCCGCATACTCAAGGTCGAGAAGTCTTTCTCCAGGCAACAGATCCACACCGCCATTACTTACATTCATCAGAGCTGTTTCCAGAATGTCGTCGATGGCAAAGTTGAATGGTGAGATTGGGCAACCCTGTCTAACCCCACTGCTCGAATGGAACAATGGAGAAAGGTGGTTGTATGCCCTCACTCTGCCTGAGGTGTTTTTATATAGGGCTTTCAGGATGTCAATAAACTTCTCAGGCACACCCTTCTTCAATAGACAATCCCAGAGAACAGTCCTGTCCAACGAATCGAAGGCAGCCCTGATGTCAAGAAACACTACGATTGTTGGCCTTTGATAAGTATGGCGGTGTTCTAACATTTGGCGGAGGGTGAAGATATGATCTATACATCCTCGACCAGAACGAAACCCGGCCTGCTCCTCGCGAGTCAATCTTTCTCGAGTTTTGAACAACCTACGAAGTATGACGGAAGCCAATAGCTTGGACGCAATTGGAAGTAGACTTATCCCCCGATAGTTGTTACAGGAACGACGTGAACCCTTTTTAAAGATAGGGACAACTATCGACTCATTCCATGACGTTGGTACACTCTCTAGTTCCCAAACCTGTGTAAACAACGTCGTCAATTCCTTAGTCAAAAAGTCACCACCATCTTTAAAAAGAGCCGGAGGTAAGTCATCTGGGCCAGGTGATTTGTAGCGTTTCAAGAGTTGGAGTTCCTTGCGGACTTCCTCGTTTGGTGGATCAGTCGTCACCGGCCATGGAGGGCAGGGCAGTCTGACCGATGTTGTCGGAGCAGCAGGCCAGTTGAAATGCCCTTCGAAAAATTCTGTCCATCGTCCAAGACGTCGATGGATGTTAGTGATTGGCATCCCATCATCGTCGCAGATTGTCTCACTCACACCAGACTTCTTGCTGCCAGTGGCTCGGATGAGTTGGAAGAGCTTCCGGTAGTTACCAGATGCAGCTGCTGCCTCCAGCTCATTAGCACGCTTCGACCATCAGGCTTCTCGGTCCTTACGCAAGCTTTGCCCAATTTCCTTACGTAACATCCTTCGTTTATGGTCAAACTCACGGTCACCCGGAGTAGACCGACGGGCTTAAGTGAGTTGTAAGGAACCTGCAGAAACCCAGTGCTTATAAGCGGGACGTTTCGCGAACCCACAACTGACTGTACCCGCCATTTCCATGGCGTCATGCAATTGCAACCAATGCTCATCTATACTTTTCGGTGGAGTGGTAGCTAGCCTAGAGGCTAGCTCGGTTCGATACTTATTTGCAACAGAAGTTGCAACCAGCTTGCTAACATCAATCTTTTGGTGGTGGTCACTTCGTTGTCCACTGAAAAGTAAGGCAAGATTGGCGCAGACCAAGGCATGGTCAGAGTCCAGATAGGTACTCCAAAAGGAGCGGGAGTCTTGTACACAACCACGCCAGCGGTAGCTGATCGCGATGTGATCAATCTGAGTTCAGCCTTGAGATGCAGAGGGAGGACGCCAGGTGGCACATCGGCGATGACTGTGCCGAAAGTTAGTGCTAGCCAGAAACAGGTTGTGGTCTGTGCACAGTTGCAGTAGACGGTCCCCGTTATCTGACCTGCGACCAACGAGTCCCCATCGGCCACCTAAACGACTCTCTTCTGTGCCTAGACGCTCGACCTGAGCATTCAAGTCTCCGGCTAGTACTACAATATCTGTCGAACGCACTTTCTGGAGAAGAACAGATAACTGGTGGTAAAACTCATCCTTGATTGCATCCGGGCTGCAATCTGTCGGGGCATAGGCGGAGATGACGAAAAGACATCGTTTCTCACGCCGATTTCTTCTCACTTTGATGGAACTTTCTAATCTAACAGCACATAACCGACTGTTAATGGGGATCCAATCGACTAGTGCTGCCTCAGCTCTAGCGCTCAGTGCGACACCAACGCCAGCAAGACCAGACGAAGATGCCACAGGGTCCCCGGATAAGCGCACGTAAAACAAGCTTTTCGAAGCGACAGATGGAGATCGGATTTGTAGTACTTCGCCAGAGTCTTGAATACGGGTCTTGGATAGACACCAAACATCAATATTAAGACTTTCCAAAGACATAGCCAACCCTATCTGTTGTCCGACCTGCATAAATGTGCGAACGTTGAAGGCAGCCAGTTTGAATGATGCACGTGGTTTCAGAAAAACTGCTTCAGTCCTCGTATTCGGTGGTAACATGCAATTTTCAACTGGACAGTGACTCGAGAACGTTTAGATACAGTCGAATTTCCACCAAAGACGAGCCGCTGTATAAGTATAAAAGAGGGTGAATAATGTGGAAAATAATAATAATAATAATAACAATAATGACAATAGTAATAATAATAATAATAATAGCATTAATAATGACAATAATTGTAGTGATAATAATTTGAATCGACTGATTGTTTTTCGAAGCGAGAAAAGTAATTTCCACAGGCATAGAGAGTTCATCATTTGTGTGTGGGCTGTGATACTACCCGGGTGCCCAAACCGAAGCAGGTGGTTATCTTAGGGGGCCACTCCCCGAGCCTTTGACCTAAAGGTCTAACCCACAAGACAGTGGAGCATCGTAAGGAGATGCAATCCCATGGTAGCCGGTGACCAAAGATTGGTTCATACGCCATTTGTTCCCGCAGGATACTGGAGCCCATGTGCACCATTAATTTGTGATCCGGTTAAAGCGCCGGACATTCGCTTTTCGTCCTCTCATTTTCGTAAACAACACCCCCGCCACGAGAAGGCAATGAGTGGGACTTCCCTGGCAGAGGCTGTATACGCGCGACCGTGTGAGAGTATTTCGAGAGGGAGAGCGGACTCTCCCCACTCTCGGCCGTACCAGGGAATTCGGGGATCTTCAACACTCATTGGGTGAAAATATAAATAATCTTTTGTTTTACTAATTTCGTAGACATATAATGATACCTCAGTTGAATAAATCAATATCAACATTTTGGAATTCGTAAGTAAACTGGTTTAGTACTAGGCCGAATTTGTTGGAAGTTATCAACCTGATGAAGTCAGATAAATATAGGCGGTCACGGCACAATGTTATATCGTTTGTAACAGGGAAAGCATGCATAAATGTTTTTTCTGTTAAACAATATGATAGTTTATGATTGAAACCATATTATTTAAGTCTGTATGTATTTTAAATTGCACGTTTCGGGAATCCTGAAATCTCACGACGTTATTTTAAATTTTTTTAAGTAGTTCTAATCTATATGAGATTTAGTTATGAAAACGGGTAGTTTAGTCACAGAATCAGCGGTCATATCTTGACGGAATAAATTTCAGACGGTAGAACCACTAGCCAGTTGGTTATGTGTGTGTTTACTAGGTTATGAAAACTGTTAGTTATGTGGAAAATATTCACTCATAATAGTTTAACAAGGAGTTATTCATTGAGTGATAAATGGAAATTCAATAGTGAAAGTGAAGACTACGAGGTGAATAGTGATTTTTCCTTCCAATGTCTACGCATTTTTATCAAAAAAAGAGGATGAGCCCTATATATATATATATATATATATATATATATATAACCCAAAGGGGCCTTAAAAACACCTAATCAGCATTGAATAGAAGTTCATCAGAAACGTCTAGAAGGTGAAGATATACGTGTCAAATTTCCGACTTGATGATTGCCTATCCTACTATTTTTAGTAAGGTTCCAGAACCTTCCAAAAGCCAAAGGCCATCTAAAAGACCATCGACTTTCTGTACGTAAACTGACCTTGGAGTAAGGTGTTTTTTCTACATTTCGCGACTTTTCTCTCATTTTCAAGTTGTCATATACGTTACTAGAGGCTCTTAGGAAACCGATTTCAGCGTTCATTCAGAAGATTTATCACAAATAACTTTATTGATTGGAAGAATTCCACAACAGTTTTTCATACAATGCTGCTAATGCACTGAACAGTTATGAATAGTGGTTGTTTAGTTGGTCACATTTTGACTAGTGATTCACTGGTGGGACCTTTTCAATAATCAGTCAACCAACATTTATGATTCATAATTTATAACTTATTTAGTTACAGATGATTTATCTTAAAGAAATGTTTTATGTGGTATTCAGGTTTCAACTTTGACTAAATTATTCACCGCAGAAGAGTTGCAACGTGAGAACACTAGACGATCAAAAATTGAAGCAGATTTACGATTATTCAATCGTTGGCATTCAGGCGAACCGATTTCAGTAAGTTTGTTTAAAGAAAGTAAATAAAAAGTTTGTTTTCATTTTTCTGATAATAATTTCAATTCAGAATACTTTTAATAAACTTGAAATGCACCGTATATTTCTTACGATGCATTTCATAAATAAATTATTTTTGTAGATTAATCGAAATTGACATTAATTCGAGCAACCTATTTGGTTGATATTTCGCCCTATTCCATATGGTTGACTCTGGCGTATTCCAGCTGTAAAATTTGTAGTTGGTTGTAAAGTCAAACCGAAGAAGCATAAAGTTTGACTATAAATGTATGTATTTTTGTTGACTGAACTCGGAAGCAACCCTGATGGCAGACCACCTTCGATGTGTTGAACAGAAATGTACTTTGTGATGGTCTACTAAAGAAGAGTGTGCTTGAAAACTTCATTAGCATATTGAAGCCCTTATATACAAACACCTCAGACGGAGTAAAGACATGCAACCACCTCTCTTCACTAATTCATTCTAGCAGTGAGGTCAAGCAGGGTTATCCAGCCTTACCATTCCTCTGCAACTTTGCCATCGATGACACTGGAAACAGCTCTCATGAAATTAGGTATTAGTGGTGTGGATCTGCTACCAGAAGAAAGAATTCCCGGTCTTGCGGTTGATATTGTCTTTAATGTGCGCAATAATACTCAAGCCTATTTCGGCACTCATAACTGGAAGTGAGCCGTTAGAAGTAGTCGGAACGTTCGTGTATCTGAGTTGTTGTATGAGTGTTAGTGTTGGCTTGACTGATGAGACCATTCTACGTATAGTAAAAACAAAACTGACTTATACCGATCTAGGTCATCTTTGGTGCCGTCGGGATGCTTATCTGGTTGTGAAAGGCCTTATCAACAACGCGTCTGTGAGATCAACTTTCTTGTATGTATGTTAAACCTCTCCGAATCGAAGAAAGTAGGCAGCTCTGTGTTCGACGATCATTGCCTTTGAGGAATTGCTGGTATCCAACCACGACACCATCTCATTAATTATGAGGCCCACCGATATGCGTCCATGCTTAGTGACGACAATGCAATTACTGTCACTATCTCGAAACATCGGCTTGGTTGCCTGGACACGTTTCATCAATGTCATCCCAGCGAACTACATATTTTGCATTTAATACCGACGCTGGGACTGGTTGGAAAAGCAGAGAATTGACCAGTTTATATCGTGGCATCGTGATATGAAAGGAAGCTGTATAGGACTGTCATCTGTTGGTGCATCACGATTCTCTGGTTTTGGGTCCAAGAGATGGTGGAATTGAGTGGCTCGAGACGTTATTAGATATGACTCTGGACAGAAATCAATGACAATCTTGCTGCAATTTACTTTTACATTCTTCGTAAATGCGAGGACTGCTCAAACTGAAAGAATTTAAATTATATCGTATGTGTTATTAACAGAACTATCTCTGCGACTATACATTATTCTTGTTATAATGAATTTTTATTTATTCTCTTCAAATGTGCTCCCTGTTCGTCACAATGTAATCCATACCTTTGTCTGGCGTATTCTATTCAATTAAAAAATAATTACTACTAGTTTTTGATTAGAGCTACCTATTCTGATTTACAGACTATGTGAGAAAATGTAATATCGTTCAGAGTTAACACTCCAAAAATATCATTTAATGTTAATTGGTTGCAAGTAGTCAACAGAAAACATTGAAACTTATGAGTAGGATTCAAGTAAATTGATCATGGCTTGTAAAAGGTCAACCCGAACATGAAATATTTAGATCATTTAATCGCAATCACCAACAGTTATATACATGCCTGTACAACAGCATTGTTTTTCAGCAAAACATTAACAATGTACCTTAAAACCAGTTACTAGTTAGAGTATAATTATTAGACAGATTGAAGAGTTTGTGACAAGCAATAACTTCAAATTAAATAATTTTTTATATATTTAATAAAGTTGCTGGAAAAAATACGGTTCAGTTTGTCTGAGCAGATAAAAACAATCTAAGAAAGATGGTAGATAGAATATCATAGTTAAATGTTTATTTTGTGTCTTCTTAATATGACGGAACATATGAATTGGCATGTATGTATCCAACCATCTAGGCTGTTACCAATAATGTAATATCAGTGATAGTTTAACAATGTGATTTTACCGTATTTAGTGTTAATAAGATATTTTACGGATTTCCTAATATTTTAAAATAAAACTACCCTTTGTGCTCTTTCATATTCGTTTGTTTTGAATAACTCGTTCAATGTCACAACAAGAGAAAACAAGGTACACTGGAAGTGTGTTTTTCTGAAATACAGTCCACAGAGATAGCTCTACTAAGACTTTCCCACTTTGTTGACAGCAGACAATTACCATCACTGTGGGAGTTGGTTTGTGGAGACCAGTGAATTTCATTGCTAACAGTTAACATTACTTACCAGTCTTAGTGTGACAACTAGGAAACAGCGGACAGTTGTCTTAGCATGGGATTCTAATAGTGCATATTCACGATTCCATCAGGGTTGAACCAAAAACCTTCGTCTCTTAGCAGATGCTTAGCGTTTTAACCAGTGAACGACTATCTAATTATCAAGTAACCTTTATGACAATAAAGGAGGAGTAGCTTGAGTGATTGTTTTTACGATGTTCCCCTCCACAATCATCGAATAGTATCCGGCTATTTTTGTTTTCTTTTTCAGATAATTGGTCGTATTAAAGACATTCCGCTATTTGTTTATGGATTTATACAATTATTACTTAGTGGTGAAGGCACATTCGCTTTGATGCAAATCCGTTTAACTTTGTTGGGTTTATGCGTTTTGTTTTATTTGATTACACCTTTCGATTTTATTCCGGATGTAGTTGCCGGTTTCATAGGAATTTTAGATGATATCATAGTTTTATGTATATTTATTATTCATGTCATCTCTGTGTATCAGACAATTTCTTCAAGACGAGAACTGAATAGCCGATAAAAATCCTCTATGTAAATCTTTATCCTATGTATATTATACAATAGATCGCGTCTAATTCTGTGACTATCCATGACTACGAATTCTTGCACGAACTGAAAATAATATGTACATATATTTCATTTACTGTAAACAAATATTCTTCTACTCTTTAGTTGTTTTTATCAATCATTGATTGAGTTCAGAAAATAATTATAAGATTTTGAGGGTGTTTTTACTCAGATAATCACATTATTCGAACTTGTGAACATTGGCACTTCATTTTAATAATGAGGAAAAACAATTTGGCTTGGTTGACCGAAAGTTAATGTATATGTATCAATAACAAACTATAGGGACCGTGCCATCTAATCGAACCCAACAGAATTATAACAGGATCTTTTCGAGAAAAAAACTATGTGAGCAAACGATTTTACTTGACGTGTTTGAATTCACAATAGATATTTTAAAAAGTACAATTAAGTATAGTTCGAATTATAAGCAGAATTAGATGATGGCTAGCAGTGGATTCCAGGACGCGTCTCGTTCTGTTTCTGACTCGTCACCTGGATGTTCATATTCACTCCAGGACTCGGTACTTTTCGCCTCAAACGCCATTGCACTATCCACTTATCCATTTGCTTGTGCAATGGAGATGCAGGCACATCCAGCTGACGAGTACCAAATAGCACGGGACACGCGTCCTGGATTCCACTGATAGCCACCATCCATCTCTACTTATAATGTTTGTAACTCAAGTCAATATCTAGGCAGTCCGAACAGGATGAACATATGCCAATAAGAGACTGATCAATTGCAGTCCTAAACAATGATGGAGAAATTTAAACAACCAATACAAAAATAAGTTTAGTTTTAGTGCTTTATGTATGGATTTCATGATCAAAAATCTTTTAACTATGGCCAAGTGTGAAGAAGGGATCGATAGAATAGTTAGATGTTGCGTATTCAGTATACAGTAATTCTCATGGACAAATACCGTTATTCTCAAACTGTACTTACATAAGTTAGATCAACTTGTGTAGACTACAGAAATGACTTAGCAAGAATTGCATTGATTGTACAGGTTTTCCTAATTACCTTAGTTTAGACAAAAAATAAACATATTCTAAACTTGTGATTGTGAAGAAAAAAAGGATATGAACGTCGAAACATAAATATGTTCTTTTATTGAAACAAATAAAATATGAAAAATTCGCATGAATAATCTCTACTGATAATATGAATAATGTTTCTAGTTCCTAGACCTTCCTCGTGTACGTCTCCTGGATGAACGACGAATACTCCTTTGTGGAGTAATTTGTTGGGTTTGTCTCTGAGTTGCTGATCTTGTTTGGCGATTATTTGGTCTAGTGCTAGGTCTTTGAGAATTCCTGGCTGTGGATCCATTATTAATAGATTCAGTAGTTAATTCTTCATCGGGATTTAAATGTCTCTGTTGATTGCGTGTTAATGGAGGTATATATGATTGTGTATCGAAAAGAAATTCATCATCAGATGGTGGATAAAAGTCTGAATCAATATCTTCATAGTATTCATCAAAATATATGCCATCAATAAAGGAATAGTAATGATCAAATGGAAAAATGGAACTTTCATCTGATTCATAATCAGTAATAAAATCTTCATCTTCTGAATCGCTAGATCCAATAAAGCGGGATAATATTGATGACTTGTGGCGTTCAAAAATTCCTTTTACCTAAGGATTAAGAAAAGAGAAACTTCGGGAATTTAAATTCACAAAATGTTGCTCATATAAATATAGACTATAAAACCTTCAGTACCTGCTAGCCCACTATGTATCCAACATGACGAATATTTCGATAGTTTTCTTATAGTTATTAAAGTCTATTTGTGATGCATGGATAATATTCTGAAGTCGACTATTATTTTGAAATAAATTCAATAGTAATGCAAATTTAAGTCTGATTGCTGTAGATTTAGTTTAGGTAAATTAAACGTTAATCCGCATGTTCATGTTGCAGGCAAGATCAACTAAATGACCGATTAAATGCTTGATAAATAGCATGAAACAATTCACTGACAAAAGAAAGATTGCACTACGAATATGTTTTGTCATAAAAAACTTATCTGTTAAATAACACAACGATAAAGTGCCAATTAAAAACTTGTTTTACAAAACACTCGCAAATATGCGTCATCCTAATGGATATACAACAATAGGTTAGACAAAAAACTGACTGGTATAGAACATTAGAATGATCAATAATGTTACACTGGTTATTTGGTCAATAGAGAAGGTAATCACAACTTGTCTTAAACACGTTAGACAGCGTTTAGTGCTGCATAAATAATAACGTCTTCAATACATATCCCAGTTTTACAGGTATGACAAACAAAATTGCCATACTTTACATCGAAGTGACATTGTAATTTTGGATACAGTAAAATATATTAACGGAGAATTGTTTCATTTAGTGAGCTCTGAGTTCTTATTGCGATACTAGTGAAACCTTACATAGATGGAGACGATTATTTGTCAGAAAATTATTGTCGATTGGACGACAAGGTATTTAGCATCTTTTAATAGTTGAAGATGCTATATAGTGTACATAAAAAATGGTAGTCTTTATAGTTGTGATGAATTTTTTTATGTACGCATATCTTATAGACGCGCGAATTGAGAACCTCTACGAAATAATCTTAGGTGAGTGGTAGCATAGTGATTAAAACTTATGGCTGTCAGCCGCATACTCGAATTGTACTCCTTGTATTTTAGCTAGACCAGTGTTGCATCATGAGTTGCCACAACACAAGTAATAGTCAAAGCCAACCGTATACACCGATCTGTATTTAGTTTACTAGATAAGTAAGTCGATCGAGTAAAGTAGAACCTGGCACATCGATTAAAGCTGTCGGATAGCATTAATGTAGTGAGAAGAATTTATCACAAATGTCAGAGTAGCAAAAAAAGGGGGCAGAAACAATAGGATTCGAAAAAAAACTGAATTCACAGAACAAAAAGTACAAGTACTTTAAAACAAAAAATGAATGCATCAGCTAAAGTGACCTTATTTCCAAAGGTTTTTTAAACATATGCAATATTTACAACACTTTTCCTTACCAACAGCAATTCTGTAAATTTCTACGTTTAAAAAATAACCGATAATGACAACAACTTAGTTACCCGATATTTTAAACCAGCTTTAGCTAATTTACGTAGTTCATGAAATGTTTCGTCATCAGCTTCTACGATTGGTAGAGAAGAATTTAAATGTTTGCTTTCTTGTTTTTTCTGAGACTTTTTCTTGGAACGTGTCATTTTATTCCGATTATATACCCAACAACTTATATCACCCGTTGTACCACAGGTAACTATTTGCTGTTCATATGGATGCCAATTTATATCTCGTATTGTATGCCCATCACACGAATAATGCTTAACCTATAAAACAAATAAACAACAATATAGTATAAAGTGCACCATTGTATTATAATAATGTGATGAGTTATACATTCGCAAAGAATTCTGAATGTTTGTCTGAATTTTTTTCTCGTTTTTTTAATTACAGATTTTGAATTGAATTACGATCTCTTTTCAATGTACATTTCTCTGTTCAGCTGAGGTTTTGTAGCATTTATTTGACAAAAGTTTAGCTTGTTCTCTTTAATACACTTCCAATTAATTATTATACACTTGTCTGATACCTGTTACGATTGTTCAAAACAACTATCGAGTTCTTCAGAAGTTAGGCTCTTCGACGGCTTTAACGTTTTACATTAGCCTACACTTAGCGTATTTATTGAACATAATGAAGCAAAGGCAATCTTAAAAATGTGCAAGTAGTACGTTTCCGAAAAATTATATACAGTGCATGACTATTACGTACTATTAAAGAAAAGCTGGTAGCCTCAAATGTTGTGAAGTTAATATTGCTTGATCACGTGACACACACATATGGTATATCACAAATATCTATCAGCACTCATTGGCTGGACACAAATCACTTGAAATGGACCTATTAAACTAATTTAAATGAGCTGAATACGTTCGGTCAAGTACATTATTTTTCACCTACGTTTGAAACTGTCGTATATTATTGTGATTCTGTTAAAACAGATCACATATGTAAAGAAACTAAAAAGAAAGAAGGAATCAGTTTCAGTAAATTTTTCTAGAAAATAATTGGGGAAGTGTGTGGGGGGAGAATGTTAATGATTGGTTGTTTGCTTAGTCAGACTAGTAGAGTCTGACAGGCGTTAAATGATTTAGATATTCTCCTATCCTTATTATCATTGATTGTTGTCGGTTTTTTTGGTGTGGAAATGTATTTACCTTCTAGTTAGGCTAATCACGTGTAATAGATCTGAGCTGTGTTGAAGTGCAGTAGAATAGACAGTGAGAGGGAATCTAGCGTAGATATTCGTCTAAGGCAAATTAACATCCCATTCGTAAAGATGAGGAAACTTCGAGCGTTATTATCACAGGTATTAAAGATACAAATTTATTAAGATTTCAAGAAACAACCAAGTCACGAAGAGTGTTGTCTACATTGAAAAAAAAGAACAATTTTACGAAACTTTGACAGATTATCAGATAAAGAGGGGACAGAATGACTTACAACTTTTCCGGAATACAAATCCCATATATACCAATTACCATAAGCACTTCCAGAGTAAGCAAATCTTTGTTCAGTATTAAATGCAGGCGAAAAACGTGCTCGAATTAACGTGTTGCGAACTTTATGTCCAGAAAGTGTAAGCACAGAGTTATCACCTCGAATAGGTTTAGAAGAATTTTGTTTAGAAGGTATGGGATCTAGGTATGATATAACATCATAAACATTGAAATGTAGAAGTGTTAGAAATATCATATTGGACGGAAAACATCTTCAAGCAGTAAAATTTGACTTAAAGAAGGTTACAAAATAATGTTAATTATTTATTAGCTATTTATAAAATACGATTTTCAAAACAATATTCTGTAAAGTTTATTCCGTACACATACATACCGGTACAATTAGGTATTAAAATGAACGTGTACCACTGATATAACAGATTCATAAGGCAGTGGAGCAACGTAAGGAGATGCAGTCCAATAGTAGCCGTTGACCAATGACTGGTTCATACGCGATTTGTTCCTTCAGGATCCTTCAGCCCATGTACATTATTGGTTTGGAATCAGGGTTTTCCAACTCCCCTAGGTGGATCCTCAATATCCACCAACCCGGTTAAGGCGCCGGACATTCGCTTTTCGTCCTCACTCCCGCCGCGATAAGGCAGTGACTGTAAACGCGTGGATATGTGAGAGCATTTCGAGAGGGAGAGGTGACTCTCCCCAACCTCGGCCGTACCAGGACATTTGGGGGCCTTATCTTGATTAATCCTGACACATATATATGTGCTAATGCAGGATTACTCAGTTATTTTTCATAATCATTCATAATTGGTATTACTATGAAAGGTAAACCCGAATGTTTTTGTTTTAATTCGATTTTTCGCGTGATCTTTGCCCTTTTTCTTACTAGCTGGCACTATTCTGAATTCGCTAATTTTCTGTACACTTGAAGTTCGTGCTTTCGTTACTATATTGACTGAGTTGTACTATTTCAAGTTACTCTGTTTGAATATCCAGTTTTCTTTTGTGTTAGAGTTTAGTTGTCGTTATCCAGTCTGCAATGAAACCTTTCGTATTAGAATGGCTCATCGTTCCTTAATTCGCCAGTACCTTGGGCTGGTCGGCAGCCCTAAGAGATATAACCGTTGTACATAAAATTAATCGTTATTATAAAGATTTAACAATATGTCCTCATAAGCTTTAAGCATAACTGCTGGCCCTTTGGCAATAAAGCTTACCTTACTCATTTCTCTGTGAATAGTCAGGTTGATAGTGACAAGAATTATGCATTAACAACTGAACCAGATGACAGAACATGAAACAAATCAATAGGCTTCTACATGAATGACAAGTATAAATGTGTAGTTTTTTTAATTTTTTTAACCAACCAGTTAATAAAAATATAGTTTTGAGAAATGTTTTGCAATAAACTGCAAAATTTAACTTACATCCACGTGGAATCGGATGAATTCGATAGTCCCAAGTAGAACGAGGAGTCATTCGCTAAAGGCAAAAAAATAACACAAAGAAACATTACTATAATAATGTTATTAAAGCCAATTTTGACTGTAAACAGCAATGGATGCAAACCACAGGAATGAATAGGGTTTTTTGTTAGTAACAGACAGTAGATGTATAGATATATTGCATATATTATTAACACGTCCCGATAAACAGTAACATGATATTTTAACAAAAGTTCATTATTGTATAACTGGAATAGGATTTAAACGACATTAGGTCGATACTGATCACACTGTTGACATTCCTCTGATAAGCACGATATCGTTTATAGTAGAGTATTTCAGATTCTTAAAATTGAATAATAATTGAGTTCTTGTTGATACTTGCAATGGAAGCTAACTCAATACACAAACCCTTAATGATCGATTTCTGCTTTAACCCATTTACAGAGAATTTTATGATATATGGTGTTGTTATCATTTACTAAAATACTACATAAAGATTAAGTAATATTAATAATAGAGCTGTAACTAAGATAGTATTCCAATCTAATCACTGGAAGTACTTTATTAAGAGTTGAAAGATAATAAGGACTTAAGCAGACAACAAGCTGAGATTATCCGTAATACCTTCACCATTCAATACGTGTATTGCATTCAACCTTATCGGCTATTTGTTTGTCCACTTAGTGGGTTGGTCCTGGATATTGTAGTGAAATAATAAATATCTAATTTCAAGCATCTGGAGTTGTCCTTAAGTGTTCACAATGAAGATATTAGTGTATTTCAACCCAATAAGAATAAAAATACATATCTAATAAAAGTTAGGGTTCAAAATGAAATGACTCTACGAAGTAGCACATATCCACCAAATGAACGTAGGAACCTGAGAGATACAACACAATTCCTAAAAGGTTAGGAATAAATTCAGTCTAATCAAAGAAATATTGCGGAATAGATACAAGGTAAATTACAGAGAATAAAGTAATCACCAACTGAGGTTAGCCTGGATATTGGGTCATAAAAATGTAACGAAATTCGAAATGTTAAACTATCAAGAATGATGAAATGTCACACCACATTAAACGAAACATATATAGTGCATCCTGTACCGTAAGATATTGATATGAAAACGACCATTTTTGTAGACTGGTATAATGAGCGGGAGGGGGCGGTGTGGAAATAGGTATCAAGCTTCATAGTTAGGGATTAATTTAGTTGGTGAATAAATAATCCATAGTTCCTACATCATTCAGCCGTTTATTTGTGAAATGATTTCTGATCATTTTTATTCTTATGTTGAATATTTGTATATATGTATGTTGTTTTGTGAGAAAAAAGCCTATGCTAATGGGCTGCTGTTATGCATTCTGATATCGTTTCGAACTGGGATAGCTATCACTTCGTTGCATTATAATATCTTATTTTATCCATCGATTAGTATTGGATTTAATCATTTCAGTAACTTTAAACCTATTAGCAAAATTATAAAATTCTACCTTCATAGCATAGACACTTACATGAAGAAGTACTTGATATACAAAATTCTAAATAATTTATACAGATCACGTCATGTTTATAACTAAATTACAATGCCATTAGATTATAAACCAACAACTTTCTCTACATAAGTTTTTTTATATCTTTTTTTAATATAATCATCACTGTGAAGGAACGTTATAGAAGTCACTAGCAGGAATTTCTATGTTATCCTATTTTATTCTAATCATTCAAATATTGTAACAACTTCTTTATTTGCAAATTGTCTAGCTTACCAACAAATTCTATTGACTAAATTATTTACTGACGGATGCTCATCAAAAAAGCTTAATCTGTTGTCATGCTTATTAATGTAAAACCCAAGACAAAGAGCTTTCTTCCTTGTCCATATTATCAGTCAGATTGAAGCGAAAAGAACTTTGAAAGGATGCCTTCATGTTCTCCAAAGAACCTGGGTTCTATTTCCGGATCTGGGGTCGTGAATGCACATTGCTGAGATGTCCCATACTAAGACAAAACACTCGTCCAGTGTTTTTAGGTTTCCAATGGTGATCTAGCTAGGATTACTTCATGATTTGTACTATGAGAACAAGTATTATTTGCGATCGTTAGTTTAGCAGGCAACTTACAACGTACATGAACAGACTTATTTTTAAAAAGTTCAGAGCAATAAAATCAATGCCGTTAATGATCGTATTATAAAAAATAGTAGACGCTGCTTACAGTTTCTTTCCCCGATTCACGACACTTTCTTGTATCCCATAGTTTAACCGTTTGATCTTTACTGTTTGACAAAAAGTACACATCATCACCCTAGAATAGATAAAATGTTTGAGGTATACTACTCAGTCATCAAATGGGATACGTACTGCAACGAGAAAACCACTTAACCCGCTCGTTCAACTGTCTTATTGTTATAACTTATATGGGATGAATTGGCCAACCTTTTTTGTTAACAGTTAATATCACACCAATTGGCAAGACTTTATGTTTCTTTCTTATACATTCTAATTAGTTTAAGTGAAGGGCCGAGTTATCTACAAAAGACTATGTAGGATATCAACTTTTCACGCTTTACTACAGTCAGTTGTGGACAGTCAACTTGCATTAACCAATGATCTGTTAATTCAGAAGACGATCAGTCACAGAAACCTCTCGATGGAGGACTAGAACAACTTTTTCGTTACTTTGAACCTTTACGTATCGTGTACAACTGCTTAATTTCCAGAGATTATGTAGCTGGACCCAAATATCTTCGTATTCAAGCACTACGGCAATTTCACAGCGATCAATAGAGATATTATTCGCATGAAATCTAATGCACGAGGTTTCGCCCTTTGACCGTCTATGAAAACTGTCTCGCACATCGCATTGAAAGCGGAGTTGCGAATAACTAAGTTATATCCTAAACGTATCATTCGTTCACTATGGCCAGACATCTTTATTTTTCATAGCAACACAGTACTTTTAAGCGTAACTTGGTTATTAGTTAAGAATCCAAGTACGCACTACGCAATGCAGTAGAAGTCCGCTTAATTAATCTTCTTTAGTAATTCAAATAAATTTAATCAAAACATGGTATTTCTATTCAGAATGTATGATCATTGAGAGAAAAGAATAGAGGATTGTATGTGTTCTTTTTTCAAGGTATTTGGTGTTGCGAGAGTATTTCCTCCAGTTTTATAAAGACATTGAGGATCTCTGTAAAACGAGTAAAGGAACTTACTATACAAACAACTAAGCTAATAGTGAGTAATCACATTATCATAATGGAAACGAAATGATTGACATTAGTGCAAACAAATGAACTATTCCAGTCAGCATTTAAAATTAAAATAAATCACAATTTCATTAATTATGAAGTATAATGAGACTTTCTGTGGGTTAGTACTAAAAATGTAAACTTATCAACTCATAACCAAACAGCAATAATTTTGATGTTTGATTATATTTTCTTTGAAGGGCTTGGACCAGATTACCAGGCGAAACGTTGGGTTTACTTCAACTTTATTCGCTGAGATTTTACAAATACATTCTTTCTATTTAATGTCTCACATCATATCGGCGTCAAAATACTATGAAACTATTTGATCAAATTTAGACGAAAGTTCTCATATAAATCAACTCATACTTCTTATCTTTTTAAAAACTATACATTTTCTATGGGTTTGATATGATAATAAAACATAACTATGAAATTAATCAAATGCAGAAAAACAACAGTACCTTTGAATCCAAATATGTGATACCGTCCACATGTCCAGAAAATAAACTTTGACACCCTTTGTTCAATGCACGAATATCAAAAAGCTAAGAAAGGAACCAAAACACGATAATCAATATGTACAAACTCTAAACAATAAGCATTATAACGTGCACCGTTGGGGAGGAGCAAGAGTGTACACGTTGAGACCCGAACGATGATGAACTATGCTTGTGAAGGTTGAAGCCAGAGGAAACTCTGGTTGAGGACCGTAGTGATTCTGACGTGTGAAAGACTAATCAAACTATCTGGTAGCCGGTTCCCTCCGAAGTTTCCCTCAGGATAACTGGCATTCTGAGAAATAAACAGTTTTATCCGATAAAGAGAATGATTAGAGGTATTGGAGAGAAATCATCCCTAACTTATTCAAAAACTTTAAGTGGGTGAGAAGCTTAATTCGCTTAATTGGAGTTCTACATTGAATGTGAGTGCCAAGTGGGTCATTTTCGGCAAGCAGAACTGGCGCTGTGGGATGAACCAAACGTTCGGTGAAGGTGCCCAACACGACACTCATGAGGTACCGTAAAGAGTGTTGGTTAGTCTGGATAGTAGGACCGCGGCCATAGACGTCGGAAGCCGCTAAGGAGTGTGTAACAACTCACCTGCCGAATCAACCAGCTCTAAAAATGAATGGTGTTCGAGCGTTGAACCTATACCGGACCGTTGCTGTAAGCTGAGTCTATACTGTGTGGGGGCAAGCTGCACTTGGTTCAGACATGGAGTGACGGTAACGACTAGGAGGGTCGATGTGGCTAGCGGGGAACCTCAGGCGTGAGCATAGGTGAGGCGACCACAGGCGCAGATTTTAGTGGTAGCAGCAAATATTCAGGTGGGAACCTTGAAGGCCGAGTTGACCACCAGTCAAGCGGTCCTAAGTGATCCGGAAAGTTGGAACAGAGACGGAGTGCCTGACATTGTCCGTTCGCGGGCTTTGTTCAGTAATCTGCAAAGTACTGTTGCATTCCAGCCTCCTGTAGCGAAAGAGAATCGGGTTAATGTTCCCGACCCTGTTCACGGAGACTGGTGTGTCCGGCCTTTGGTTCGGCGTGAGCCCAGCGCGGTAACGCAACCGAACTAGGAAACGTCGGCGAAAGTCCTGAGAAGAGTTCTCTTTTCTTTGTAAAGTTATTTAAATTATACGTATAAACCTCTGGATTCTATTTCAGTAGTCTGTCTAGAGGTTAGGCCTTTGTGAGTGAAACCGAAGATTACTGAGTTCAACATTAGGTGGCGAGATTGCAGATGTATGTATGTATGTATGTATGTAATGTATGTATGTATGTATGTATGTATGAACTTTACATCAAATCTGATTGGTTTGTCTACATACTATACTTCTATCACATGTTTTTACCTTCTAATCATAACCAGTCCTTACAAACGTTGTAGCATAACATCATTAAAAACATTAACAGAAGGTTAATTCGAAGCTTACTTAGTTGTTTATATGTCCTATAGCCTTAGAACTCGCAACCTACGGTTTGATTGGTACGTCATTACAATATACTTTAGCCAAATATAGTACAATGGTGGAAAACTATTCAGATGCACCCTTCTAGTCGAAAAGTTTCAAGGTCAACGCTAATGATTATTGAATTAAACGTTACTCAGTGTGTGAACTGAAAACATCTTGATATTTCACATGTGCGAACTGCATGGGCTCATGTGCCCATTAAATTAAAAACTTTACGTATGCAATGGCCTAATACGGGTTAAAAGTACTTCTTTAAAAACAGTTATGATACCTATAAGTAGCTACATGCGTTACAACTAAATACAAAGACTAATCGTCAGTGAGCGTGACCGAAGGTCCTGGGTTTGAATCCCACGTGCGGAATAATGGACAAGCACTGTTGAGGAGTCCCATAATAGGACAACACAGCCGTCCAGTGCTTCCAGCTTGCTAATGGCGGTCTAACATTGATCGGTTTACTATTTCAATGAAAGTAAAAATGAATCACCTGTCAGTTATGTCCATTAACTAATTAAATCTTATACTACATATTAAAGAGGAAGAATGTATTTGTAAAATCTCAAATTCTTCCTCTTTAATGACTCACATTAATTCGGCGCCCAAATGTGAAACTATTCGTTCAAATTTAGACGAAAGTTCTTATTTATACTACCTATTGTACAAACAAGAGAAATCAGTGGAAGAATGATTGCAGCTTACAGGAAATAGAAAAATAACTTGCACAAACTTTTACTAGATATCTGACAAAGATTTACGAAACTAAGTTCCACCGTTTAATACCACGAAACGACAATCAAGGGAATTTAGTAAAAATACTCACAGCAAAGATTAATGAGCAGCGACTGTACCACGAACGTCTATCTAGATTTTACATAAAAACACTGTCAAGTGACTTAAATTATTTTATTCATAGCTAAAGTAAATAGAATTACTGTCTGATTTCATATTTAGTTTTAACCTAGAACTTTTACAGATCCGTGTACTCACTTGACTCAAGGATACAAATCACGTGAAAGTTGGAGATACTAATCTATGATCAGGGGTACGGGATCAGAGCAAGACTAAATGTTTGACCATCGTGAAAAAAGGCAGAAATACAGCCATAAGTAAATCCGCTACAATCTGTGTGACAAGTAAAACATTACAAAATTAAGATATTTTCAATCACTAATAATTAATTATGGTCAAATATATTAACTCGGTTTACATAAAAAGTTTCTGAACTGGACAGAGACCAATGTAAGTTTTGGAAATAGGTGGAAATGGGATGAAAACACCTAAATAATCATCAAAATAATAGCTTACTCTAACATTTGTATCATCACTACCCGCAAGGATAAGATTACTTGATCGATCCAGTGTAGTAACAGCATTTACATCAGCTTTTGATCGTGGATTTACAGCCTTGATTAAAATGAAAAAAAAACTGAACCTGTAGGATCAAAATACAATTAGCTATGCTAAAATATTTGTTAGTAATCAAAGCTGGTACCAAAGTTTTACACCTACTTATAGAACAAAAAAAAGTTAACAAAGAGAACTATTATACAACCGCCTGTACTCTAACAAGTGTAGATCAAAATATGTTAAGCAATAATAAAATTCGATTCCCAAAAAACTAACCCATATTTACACACATAACCCAAATCATAACTTCGCTTTATCTATCAACTTAGTAAACAAGACATCACGAATTAGTGATATGCTAATCTGCTTATAATAACAATATAACTAATATACTGTAAAGTTCTATGCATACAGATATGAGCATATGGTAGAATCAATTACATATTTACGTGGATGGGGAACAAGTAAGGAGTTTTCATTAATGAGAAACATAGTTCATTGTCAATTTAAAGAATGTGTTCAGTTCAATATAATGAACTTTTTAACGAGTGTTATTGGTTTTAACTTTTAATACTGTTTATTTTAAAGCTTACACTTAGTGGGAAAACTCATTAGTTTTTTATGTATGAACCTGGTTCGTATAATTTTATATTAGTGAATAAAACAAGCGATTTGTTTTATACATCTTTGCTACACATGTCCAAATGATCCAAGTTTCTTAATGATGACTCAGAACTCGTTTGGGTATAAGGTCCAGTCTGTCTGTTGAAATTATTTCGAGGAGCTATGCACTTAATCAAAAAGCGCTATTAAGTACCTCCACGCAGTGAGAAAACTTTTTAAAATAATGACATAACAGTTAAAAATCCACTTCTAGAGTGGGGCGATAGATACGAAATTTTCGCTTAGGACAGTTAGTAAACTCAGCATCTGAAACAGTAGAAGAAATGAGCTTTAGGTTGACATCAACAAATAGTTGCTGCTCTGTATGAACGCGAGGGACAACAACCCCTGTCTCAAAATCCTCACATGTAATGAGTTGTTACAGGCCGATGTATGACTAGGTCAACAAAATTACGATTCACTGGAGAGATGTCACTTTAGTGTATCAATACGTTGTCACCTAATTGACGTTGGATTTTATCATTGGACAGACAGATGATCATGGGTTGTAAACGAAAAACTAGTTGCATGATTTGTAATAAATTCACTCCGTCTGCTAACTGGGTCAAATGTAATTTGCATCATTCATACCTCGGCCTTAATTTGTGGGTGAAACAGGTATGTTGTCACTGTGGTGCTAAAACTATGACATAAACAACAGTGATTTCAACATAATCACGTGAATTTTCCATCACTTGATAACACTATTACTACGTCTCTCGTTAACCTAAACAAATTGTTCTCAGACTACTCAACTACACTAGAACGAGAAAGCTAACACAGAAACCTACAGCGAGACAGAGTTTGGATGAAACCATGTTCAGTGAGGGATTGTGTTGGAACATGCTGATTGACCATCTCTCAGCCAATCAGCACGAGGGGATATTGGGAGATGATTAGATTCTCTTGTAAAACTATGGATATACTCACGTTTTTCTAATTGTGAAATCATACTCCTGTTCAATCGTGTTTTGATTCGGGGAATAGTCGAGTGAAATAAGGTGTCCGAAGAATACCGAGCAATAAGAGTAGCTGGTTTGTAATGACACAAACTATGGTGATTTCAAAAAGATATGTACGTGGCATACAAATATGGGAACAAAAAAATAATTGTAAATAATTTGTAAACATGGATGGAATTGATGCTTAAATATGTCGATTGGTACTACGGTTGTGCTTACCAATCAGTGCATTAACTTATAAACCACTGCTAACTAAATCTATTATCACATCAGTAATTGGTGACACAACTTCACCATCCAACTTGATACTTTATACTGTTTGTCAAACCATGTTGCAAACTGATCCAGGAATAACCTCAAGAAAGAATGTCCAAGTCTACATTACTCGGTCCGATCGTCACAATAGGTGAACCAAACAACATATGGGAAGATAACATTTCACAGAAGTTAAAGAAAGGAAATCATATAACAATAACACCGGAAAATCCGAATATTAGACGAGTGTTCAAATAAGAATACAGAGCCGATAAATTTAGTTATTTCTAGAAGTTTATCTTGCTAGTCATTTAAGACAAAAAATCTCTGGCATGATAGCTACAAACCTTAATGTAAAGCTACTTCTGATAATAAGTTGTTGAATCTCTAATAACCTATTCTAAAATTCGTGATGAAATATATTTTAGTCCGAAACAATATATTACTTAAGGATCATTAATGTTAGTCTACTTTTTCAGTTTGGTGCGCCATATTAACAGCCGGATTCATTACCCACCCACTATCAATTTAATCACCAAGTTTCAGTTGTAAAACATGGGGGTTCACCATGAGAGTTAGGTAAAGTATGATGCGAAATATGTGTAAGCCTGTTCTTTTATAGGTAGACTAACATTATGACGGTTTCTTAAGTTATTTAAATTGGTATACTTTACTGCAGTATTTGCTGTTTGGAAACATTAAATCATCCCCATATATTGCGAGTTTATTGACCAAGGAAAGGGTTCTATTTGTTTTATTTTGTAAAAGTATGCTATCAGTAGAATGTTGATCTCAAAATCAAAGTAATCTAAAGAAACTTGAATTGAAATGTGATACACAAAAACAAATGAATAAACAGCCGAGTATTATAAGCACAAATTGATGGTGGCTAGCAGTAAAATCCAGGACGCGAGGTCTAGGTTTTGGGTATTCGTACACGAGACCGAAGGTCGTGTGTTCGAATCCCCTCTGCCAACAACACCCCCATAGCGCCCGAATTCCCTGGTACGACCGAGAGTGGAGAGGGTCAGCTCTCCCTCACGAAATGCTCTCACACATCCACGCGTTTACTGTCACTACCAGAGAAGCCTTAGTCACTGGCTTATCATGGCTGGGGTGTTGTTTAGTAAATTGGTGGATATGGAGGATCCACCTAGGGGAGTTGGAAAACCCTGATTCCATACCAATGGTGTACATGGGCTGAAGGATCCTGAAGGAACAAATGGCATATGAACCAATTATTGGTCACCGGCTACTATGGGACTGCATCTCTTTACGTTGCTCCACTGCCTTATGGATCAAACCTGTAAGTCGAAAGCTCCGGGTGTGACCCCTTAAGAAAACCACTCGTTTCGGTCTGCGCACCCGGGCAGTACCACAGCCTACAAAAAAATCAAGTAACTTATGTGGCGCATATGTGTTCGGTGCCCCTTTGTATCAATATCTATGTGTTCAAATGAATAAATAAATCTTATTTGGGACTCATAAGATGGATGTACCTGCATCCCAGAGTTGATGTTCACCCCAGGACTCGAAAACAGTACCTTTCGTTCCAAACGCCACCGACTTATCTATTTAGCTACTGAGCCGGATAGCCGCTGGCTTATGCAATGAAAATGCAGTCACATCCAGATAATGAGTCCCAAATGAGACGAAACCCGCGTCCTGAATTCCACTGTTAGCCACCATCCATGTTTGCTTATAATGCTTGTGACCTAACGCAATAAGAACAGGATGAACATATACCAATAAGAGACTGATCAATTGCAGTCCTAAACGTCAATGGGAACATCCAAACAAGCAATACAAAAAGAAAGAAATAATTGAGTAGTTTAAAAGTGAGAATCTTCAACTTTTAATCCGATATTATTTTTATCGTTTCTGTTTTAAATCTAAATGTAAAGCTTAAAAGCAAACAGAGAACTGATGTTAGTCTTCCACAATGATGCAAAGGAATTGGTTTAATTTTTTCATTAAGATGATCGCAGCAAATAATTTGAAAGCAACTTTGCAAGCTGGCTAAAAAAATAGTACTAATAAGTAAAATGAAATTATGAAGAATAGAATGGTCCAAGTAGTTTTTAACAAAATGAAACTTGAAGGTATAATAATAATAATAATAATGATAATAATAATAATAATTATTATTATTATTATTATTCGATAGACAAAGCGTACAAGTTATTGTAAAGGAATCAACATGATTGATTAACTCATACTTACGAATGATTCATACTTGTTTGTCTGCAGATCCGTCACATAAACCATACCTTTGTTATGTCTGATGAGAAAAAAGAGACAAAATTGATAAAAACGTTTGTACTGGAAAGTGTGACAAATATAAACTAATCAATACCTATAAGAAGATTGTCATCTGCGTTGAAAATAGTGGAATAGTTAATTTTTAGGAGATAAACGAGGATAAAATCATGTAGCAACATGATACGATGTCCAAGAACTAGTTCCAATAATCAGGTTTCTATTGATTGGAGAGTGAGTGATATACGAAGTAATTTTCTCCAATCGCTTATGATATTTTACATTTATTTTGTGTTAGTATTTTCTACATAAGCACGTTAACTTATTACATGATAAACCTATTCTTCTGGCTAGTGGTCTTGTTTTGAAATCAAATCATTAGGAGGTTTAATTCAATTATTTGTTTTTCTGAGCAGCTGTTATTTACCTACGTCATGTAGTTAGATTTGTCTATCAACCAGGATTCTACAAATTGATTTTGACAAACGAAAATTCTCTCATGAAATCACTAAAAGTCTCATCCATAACCCAATAAGACAGAGAAACGAAACTTTTAATGATATCATAAAGGCTTAATTTAAACAGTATTCACTTCAAAATACAAGCAACTTGAAAACCTTAACATTGAAATTGTATGAATGTATCAGATAGATAGCAAGGATTTGAATGGCTGAACGGACAGAAGAGGTAATTGTTACTATTAGAATTTGTTGGTTGCAAGTAAAACAACGCGTACTGCTATCTACAGCTTTTGATACGTAGGAACTTATTTTCAGCGAGTCCTAACTGTTAGTACTTCGCGTACAACTACGTAATAGTGTGTTAAGCTATTTTTGTAATCCATATGTAAAAGCTAATTATGCTTGTGTACTTTTGTTTCAACACTTAAAAAGATTGTCACAAGCCAATGTAGAGAAAAAAAGCTTTTCAGATATCTGTCAGTTAGTTGGTCAAATTGAGTAAAAGTGTAATGAGTTGCTGTTTTTAGAAAACACCGAAAGGCATTTTAAGCTGTCCCAGTTATCAGCTGACTGAGATTTCAACGAAACTATAAATGAATTGTAAAACTTGCCACTACCCTGACTTCTAGTGAAAGACATCGAACCTCACGTGATAACAAGAAGGAAATGGTCTTGACTAATTCTAATTCTCAGGTGTATCGGGACAAGTGATCACAGTTTACATCAGCACAGTAAAGCGAAGACAAGTGAATGAAACATAGTGTTACCAATAGAAATACACAAAGACAATCCATAACTGATGATTCTGTATGCTTAACGACAACGTTTTACAGTAGTATTACAGGGTAAAATGCAATAATGTGTAAAACTCAGCTATTAAGAGACATAATATTTCGCTTATGTCTGAAGATCTTAGGGATCCTGATTGCAGCAGCGCAGTTGCATTCGTTCTCGACCTTTGAAATTATGAGCTTTTACATAGTTTCATACTTTTTACTTTGTTTAATTCATTCTATTCAATCAATACTTCCTGTCTGATTTTTCTTGAATCACTGATGCAACTAACAATGCCAAGAATCTGATATGTATCTTGTTACTTTCAATTGGCCCTTGTTGTGATTTATACGGCAGCTTAGAAAGATGAACATTTATATCAGAACATAAGTTGCTCATACGTGAAAACCAAATAGGATTTTATTATGCCCAAGTTTTAAATGTGATAAACATATGAATGAAATACGAAGCTAAAAGCACAGATAACTATTAGTAAAAATTAGTGATGGGAATATATTCACGGAAACTACACTAGTAAAACAGTGCAAATTCCCATAATTTAGACATTCATATAACCGTAATCATCTAACTCAAAAAATCTGCATATATTACTTGCAGTTAACTAAGTCATAAACTTAAGTATGCGCTGTTTTTATATTAAGTGAGCTTAAATAATTGTGAAAAGCATTTATAACTAAATTACTTTTTGCATTGTACTTATTAAGTTAGTATGCATGTAGAAGATCTATAGCAAACAAAACGTAATTTATTCACTTGATTTCATAACATTTGTCAGTTGTACTTGATAACAGTTCATTAGAGATTAATTGTATGAGGTCTGACTATAATACTTACAGAACGGAATGATTTGTACTATAACTATAAAGATTTATGATTATTCCAAATAATTGTTTACAGACAAACTTATACATATATTCATAAGTCAATTAAAAACAGTGACAAAAGTGTTGATAAGCGAAGTGTTGTGAAAGAAATCCAATAGTTCAAACAAAGTAAATAATAAAATAAGACACCGATACAGACAGAGCGAAACACCTTACCCACTAACCACTTGATTACTACTCCCGCCAAGAAAATCAACACTAAAAGTCTTCGTTATATTTCTTACACCAGGTTGAAGTTCGGCATGTTTGAGATTTAGCTCCTCATCACGCACATCGGTTAGACTGGTGAAATACACTGAAATAAATGTGAATGTTAAGATGAGGGTAAAACATTGGTGAAATGAAACAAAAATAAACTAGTAAAATCTCTGTATTTTAAAGTAACGTTTTTATTTTGAAGCTTACAGTCCACTCCCGATAACATTATTAATCGTTACCAACATCAACTGACTTTTACTGATAGTACCTACTTGGGTGAACTCAGAACCAAACGTAATGGATGGACAAGGTTAAATATAAAGAACGATTCGAAAGGAAAAAAATGGGACGATACTATGACTTTAGATACAAAAATTAAGAATTAGTACGAATGTGACATTGTGATTGATTTAAGCCCATATCAGATGGACCCAGCTACACCTGAAAATGAGCACCCGTATCTTAACAGGTAGTAGGTGCCTCCAGATATAACTCAAACCTACTGCCAATGACACGAACTGATATGTCTTAGTTTGATATTTTTAACCAGCTACGTTGTTCGAGACTGAACGTCGGGATAGTCGGTGACCTGGATGGGTGACACATCTCAGTTGAAGTATCTCAATCTCTTAAAACGCGCAAAACCCAAGTTATTAAGGAGACAATCATGGCGGCTGATTGATCAAACATGATGCGATTCCCCAAAAGCGGATGATCCTATCAATCTTCAGAAATGATCACTATGGATCAGTTGGTCTCTGTTAATCTCAGCAGTGATTTTGTGGAAGGCCAGTTTTATCTGATAGCTCTAAGATAAAAACGGAACACTGAGTTTGTACGATCCCCATTTTGATTAACACACTTAGCCGACTAGTTGAGGGGAGGATGACACAGAATCCTATGGGAACATTTTTATTAAAATTACACAAGCTAGGGACAAACAATTTTAAAAAGCAAGAATGGTTCTGCGAAAATCGGTAAACTACATTCTGACAAAATGGACATGGTAACTAAACTATACATTGAAAATAAAACATTGCATTTGAAATCTCATTACAAATAAATATTGTTACTTACGAATAGGAGACAAACTGCAGAAAACAAGGGTATCCCCCAAATTGCTAGAAAATTTTGTAAGTAATGAAAATGCACACACCTTAAAGAGAGTGACACAATACTCCAGGTATATTCAGGAACATTAATCTCATTCATGTAACGAAAATAATGTCCAGAAGAATCAAATACTCGAATAAACCCATCTGTATAAAAGTTACAATTGGCAATCACATATTCACCTTGCGAAGCAGTGAAGAACAGGTCCCCAGAAGAATTATATATACCGCAGTAGACATCGTTATAACATTCTAGTGACCACAAAACCTCATTTGGAATAGTTTGACTTTGGAAATATGACTTGAAAGCACTAGAGAAGCTGTTTCCTTTCAAAGAAATCTAAAAAGGATAGAGCATCTGAATAATAATTACATTGTTGACTTCATTTATGATGTTTAACCTTCTGGTATCCAAAAAGTTACAACAACCTTTGTAATCTAATTGCATCCTCAAAATAACACAATTCAACGCCAAAGTTATTTCAATTTCGTGCAGTATAAACGAAAATTCGTCAGGACGATATGAAGAGATGGTCAGATGTCAAACTCCTAAAAGCTAAATGAGAGACCAATTACATGTGCAAACCGGAAAAAAGATCCGATGTATAGAGCGAAGGACAGTGCGTAAGCAAATCCAGATGAAATAATTGTGGTGTTCAGTTTTGGGTACGTTTCCGTCTAACCTGAAAGTACCTTGTATGCTAAGACAGTGAAAGAGTCTGGAAGGGAAAAGAACAAAAGAAAATGTCAGCCGACCTCTCAGCAAGTAGATAGAATACACTGCCAATATCCAACATCTTTGTTACGCGCACGTGTAAACGACATGGTGGACCTCAAGGTGGGGCCATGCGCACGTTTTAAGCAGTGTTAGGAACAACATTGGGGTGTACAAGCCTGAGATCAAGCTTCTTTAGGAAGTTTCGGAATCAAGATAGAATAGGGCCTATCTAACCCATCTTTGCAACCTTTGCTGCGAGTACTTGAGGCACTGTATGAAAAGCTTTAGCTAATTCGAGGAATATTAGATAAATCGGTATCTTTTGGTCCCAACAGGTCTTCCGGCTTTGTCATGATATGAGGAGATTGGACTCACAGGAGCTGCCTTTCCTGAGTCCGCATTGGACTTCCTATAGGATGTTGTTTTTATCTATCTATTCTCTCATTTGTTCATTCAACAGTCCTCCTATTACTTTAGACGGTATTGGGAATAATGCAATAGGTCTGTAACAGGTTGAGTCTTCCCTATCGCCTCAATGAAGATTGTCGAGAGTGGACTGCTTACATTCTCTTGGCAATTGGTGTAAATCTAGCGAGTGCCTGAACACGTCAAACACTAGTGTCCTGATGGCCTCCGCACAGTGTTTCAGGATTATAGGTCGGCTGGACGCAGGGATTTTAGTCTCCGAAATACTAATCCAAGACCCTAAACTGCCACTTAAATTCAGAGATACTTCGCGCTTCTAGGCTCCTAGTTTAGTTGGTCTGTGAAGTTGGAGCTAAAGATCTCTGACATCTCAAAGCCATTTGACCCTCTACGAGTACAGATCCCTTGGCTTGTGGGCTTCCTCCTGATCATGAATCAGTAGAGATATATGGGGTCAGTTTGGATTTTGGCCGCTAGCTTGACCTGAATACATATCCCATTACTGCAGACTCTGGCGTCGCATCTGTTTCTCAATGCCAAGTAAAAGCTAAGATTAGAATCTTTCACGGAGACTCTCAACTTGTCCCAAGCTCACCGTTTGGTCAGTAGCAAGCGTTTTGTGACTCGTCTAACACAGGGTCTTCGCTTTCCGAGTGTATTTTTACGTTGTGGTACATTGTGTTGGATAGCATACTGAATCATATCCCTCATTGTCCACAAGTGGTCATCCACTGTTAACCACCACTCTCATCACCTGATGCTCCTCTACAGACGTATGGGTCAACAGGATTTTAAGGAGATTGTTGTTTAAACTGTGTTAGTCAGTTGCGTGGGAACTGAACTTTGTAGGGTTTCGCCTGTATATCATGTCCCATTAGCGAAACCATGTTCTCTGTGATCTAAACTGTCGGTTGTTAATCAAGGTCAGCCGACACCGAATTGTGTTCTATTTGATCTTTCTGCTGTTGCTCTGCCGATCTAGGTTGGCTTTTGCAACATTTGACGTGATTAGAGAGACCGTTACTCGAGTCCTACCACGTCTGAGGAGCCTCAGTTAAGCCCATTCGGTTTCTGAAGTTTACAGCCACCAGAGAAGACTTAAAGATAGTGAGGTGGAAAGGACGAAGTAGCCTGGACACGCTAATTATTGTAGTGATGTGAAAGCCTATGCTATGTGATACCCAACGCCACCGTTACATATTGTGTTTGTGAGCTTTATCACAACTATCAACTACCAGCGCAGGCACTCCGCGAACCACCATGCTGGTTGGTTCTCGTGTATTTGCCGATCTACAGGCATCTCTTAAGGCCCACTTGTTGTGTCAAACTCAAATTTAAAAGGGTCGCTTAACAGATGGTTTCTGAGGTGTAAAATTTCTTCTGTAACGTGTGTTGAATCTAAACTTACCCTGAGTAGAGAGGGCTTACCTTTGCTACGTCTTGGACCTTACACAGGCGGTATTGCTTGGCTGAAGTAAAACATTTTCTTTGTGCTGTACAGTATATGCCCGGTCGTTTTTTTATCAGAGGCTACTCTACTTTCCAATACACTACTCTCCAAAATGGAACACTAAATAAAACGATTGAGCTGAGTAATCCACCCCGAGCTCCCAAGTTTGAGGAAATTTTGGGGTCAAATGACCCTGACCAAGGTTAAAGGGGAATTTTGGGTTTTTTGAGCCATTTCCCCAAAGTTCACTATGGTGGCTTCCCTAAAATGGGTCAAATTTTCCTCAAAATTGGGAACTCGGGTTGTTGCTCACATTGACTTGAGGCTTTTTCCTGTTGTCTTGAGCTTTTTTATAATCCTATTGCTATAAACGGAGATTGTCTATTCGTTAGTTACGTCTGAATTAAAACCTTTAGCAATGCTAGTCATACTTTTGGTTTTAGTATGGCTACTTGTGGCAACGTTATGACTGTGCATGCTATTCATTATATTAAAGTCTAAAATGTGAGAAAATTTGAGGAAGTACGCGATAAAAACTTCGAGGGAAAATAACAGAGATAAGTGAGGATATACGCTATAAGAGAATAGGACTTGAAAGAGTTAAAATCGCAACGTTACCTTTGACAGTCCTAGAAACTTCGCATGGATTCAGTAACTAATCCACAAACCCCGTGTTTGAAAGGAAATGGGTGTGTATATTACAACTGAAGCAACTAAGAATAGAGTAGTTGATCGGAACAGACAGATATACTACAGTGGTCCAATCTTAATATGATTATGGCCAGACTTGTTATTATGGTTGATTGACAGCAAGGTGAAGACGGACTACGTATTCGAATAAATATTCAAATGACTGAGGAAAGGTAGATGCTTTCGGTTATCAGTGAAAGATCAACGAGATCATTTCAGCATCGTAGAATAAAAGCAATCGAAAACGAGAAATAACAGAAGCATGAGATTGGCAGCGCTTCAGGTGTATCGTCTACTGATGGAGGGTGCGAGCACTTGAAGGTCAAACTGTCGTGAGATGACTGGTGCGTCACATCGACAATTCGTGGAACTTTCAGGAGTGGTCAAATCAATACATTTTTAGATTTGAATTGAGCTCGGCCGCACCATATATGATAACGTCCATCCTTCAAGTAACGAAGACGATGTCATCTTGATGATGCATGTTATAGGATGAATTTTCAATGATATTATATAATACGACGAGACAACAGATGTTATCTCCTCGACTTACAAGTTGGGACAATTTTGAGAACTATTTGAAAGAAGTACAAAAGGTAATATGACTTCAGTGGTTAATAATTATTTTTGTACTATACGTTTTCTAAGTACGTTATATCAGTATGTAAAGAGAACAATGGTGACCCAACTGTAAGGTATTATTTCATGAGATATGTCTGTACATATGGACGTAAACCCAGTTCGTCAGAGCCAGGTGCTTGTGTTCAGGATGTAGATGATAATAGTGATCATCATTTTTCCGAAGAGCATACAACTTCCTATCACAGTATCGCTGCTGGTTGCGCAGTTTTGGTAGCCCTGAAGACAATACAATTTTTAAGACGATATACGCTTAGGCCATGTTATTTCATATAAAAATAAATTATTTGCCTACCGTCAGTGTAAATTTGAGTGGAAATAATGGCTAGTCTGTGATGCAAATACGGAAAAACTATTATAGGAGCACCTGAATAATGAATTATCAAGGACTTCGCGATACCGTGTACCGCAAAATGGCAAAACCCCTTTTCAACTGAATCGTGAAAACGAAAAATAGAATTTCAAATTTGAAGTCACTTCGTATTGTTTGGCTTGTATCTTCCCATTGAGGTTTAAGAGTGCAATTAGTCAGTCTGTTTTTGGCATATGTGCATACTGTGCGTATGCCTCGATATTATCTTAATTCACAAGCTATTTGTAAGCAATGATGGACAGTGGCTAGCAGTGGAATCCAGGACGCGCGTTTCGTAGCTGAGTGGATAACGCGCAGGCGTTTGAAGCGAATGGTACTGGGTTCGAGTCTCAGAGTGAACATCAACTGTGAGATGCAAGTACATCCAGCTGACGAGTCCCAAATAGGACACGAAAAGGGATCTCGACAGCGCTACTATCGATGGAGCATGTAATAACACTAGTGATGACATGCTGCAAGTCAGCACCATCATGGCATCTATGGTAATAGACTCCCTCAGCAGACTTGGGTCCCCCAGCACACGATCCCCGAATGCAACGGTGGTTCCCCAAGTCTCTGTAAATGATAGGACGGCTGTTAACAAGGTCAAGGATGACCAGGCATCACCGTCTCTTTGTTTCGCAATGACAGAAAAACAGGAATCGGGGATGGGGTAGCCATATACATATGATCCTGCCTGAAGGCACATCAAGTGCACAACCAAGAATTGACCAATCTTGATGAATCTATATGGTGCTCATCAAGATTATCTACCACCTCGAGGTGTCTGTTGGGGTCATCTACGGGGAGCTCACTGCTGATATCGAGTACGACGATCGTATGCTGGAAAAATTATCCCGCTCCACTCGTCTCTGATTTTTAGTGTCATTGGGCCCTAACCACACAACACTGAAAGCCGAACACAAAACAACTGGGAAAGTAGATATTCTACATTTATTACGGGCAAAAATCAAACGATGGAGATGGCGGGAACAGTGAATTGAATTAGTTCGAATTTATCGGATAGCATGGCTCGGCCTTGCAGGCGTGGTCTCACTTATGTAACATTATTTCAATCCATATTAAATATATTGTTCTATCTCCAGTCTAAATGCGTTCATGATTGTTACAACGTGATGAATCATGGTAGATATTGATGTGAATTTCACGTATGATCTTATAGATTAGGCAGTTACACAGCAACAAACCTGCAATTTTGGGATTAGATCTTTTATTAGAGCAGTACTAATATCGAAGTAGACCACAATTCTACAGATTCTAAGGAAATTCAATCTCCCTAACGTCAAGTTTGCGGAACATACGTATATTAGAGGTGAAAACTCTACTGAAGCTCGGTTCTTTAACTTCTTTGAGGATCTGAGACTATTCGAAAATGTGAGATCGGCAACTCGTTGTAGAAACAGTCTGACGCCGTCGCGCTTAGACTAGACACTCACAAACGAAGAGTTCCTAATTAATAGCCTCTTAATCCAGGCTCTACTGGGGAGGAGCGATCACACTGTCATAGCGTCTAGTTTTATCTGCACGTTTGATCTAAGACTTCCCGTCAAACACAGGCGCTAAAATTTTGAATGGTTGAATGTGTCAGCTTTACAGGACAATCCTCAACTTGGTGTGAATGCTCATTGGGATTTCTAACTGCACACGATCTTATACGTTACAAAGCATTGTGTTCCTCAAATGGTCCCCAAAATCTACAAGCAACCTGCAGTCATTAAGAACCGCAATCATCGTTTGTTTAACCGCAGAAAGCACTGTTGAGCGGAATAAAAACGAAATGATAATACCGGCGCGTACAGGCACTACAAACATATAAGAAACATATGTAAAAATGCAATAAGAGAAGACAGGCTTCAGTACCAGATAAAGCTTATCGATAAATTTTTCTTCGATCCGAAAGCTTATTGCGTTATGCAGCCTCTCTTCGGCAACCCAGAACCGGAGTTTCCCAACTGTTAGATCCTAATGGCCCGACCAATAACGTTGATGATGCATGACAGTACCCTTGGACATTTCAACTGACCTACATTAACTATATCGATGAAAGTTTCATCTGCAACTGCAAAAGACATTCCGAAGTGAACCTAAGCGCTGACTTGGTGTGCCGGAAACTGCAGCACCTTTAAAAGACACATCTGCTGGTCCGGATATGGTTCATTCCACCATACTGAGGAAAGGAGTTTCAATCCTGGCAACACCGCTTAGTGTGCTGTTTTCACACTCGCCAGGCTGAAGCACATTGCCGGAAATTCGGTTGGTGGCTCACATCACACCAATTTCAAAGGAGGTCGACATAGCGGACCTTCAAGTCACCGACCGGTGGCCCTTCTCTCAATACTTTCAAAAATTATGGAGTTCCTGATACGCAACGGTAAACACAACTACTTACCATCCTTAAAATTCTTTTCATTCCAACAGCATGCTTTCAGCAAGGGTCATTCTTGTATAACTTGCCTGCTGACGACGGTGAACAGATGTGCAACTATGCCTAGTCGCAAGGGGAAGGTTGATGTCATTTATCTTGACTTCTCAAAAGCTTTTGATAGGGTCAACCATATATGTGTGCGCGTGCGGGATATCATTATTCCACAGACTGTCGAAAAAGTCCTCTTCAGACACTTCTTCTTATGCAAGCCCTACCCATTAAGTGAAGGCGGTTTCCATGGAAATAACTGAATCTGATGTTCAGGTGATCATCATAATCCTCAGAATTGAAGGTTTTTCAATCAAGGAAAAGTTTCAAACGACTCAGAATGACATTACAGATCTCTGTAATACTATCTCGCGTTGTTTTTATGCTCATCATAATCGAAGACGCTCCTAAACTCCCCATAAAGTCCATCAAAAGAAAGATCCGTTGCTAGATCACCAGAAGCAATTAAAACTGACTGAGGTTGGTACCACAATAAGTGTGGTTGATCTTCTGGAAATTGTGGGAAACCTCCTGTATCGGGAAGCTTTCTCATCAGCAAGAAGTAATGTTGGTCGTAGCCGGTGGACATATCCATCTGTTACACATAACTGATGTGATGACGTAAGTTCGTCACCTCTTCGACACTGGTGTGGAAGCAAGCGTTTATCCCAAGAATGCTTAACACCATCTACAATATCCGGTCTTCAACTTGCAGGCGGAAAAATAAAGTCCATTGCCACATATGGTAAATGATATGTTCACTTGTGTGTGGGTTTACGAGAGCTCATTCACTGTATTTTCGTCGTTGCGGACGTTTCTGTACCAGTGATAGGTATAGACTTTCTATAGTATCGTCTTCCGTTCACCGACCATAATAAAGTTTCTGGTTGTAGGTCACACATGGTCACGACTAAACATACAGTCGGTTCATCATTTCAACGGATGCACGACAAGCACCTAGAACATTACCAAACTCCACCGAAACTACAGTGTTCAAACAGCTATGTTACACAACAAATAATGACTACAGGACCACCTGTATTTTCGAAAGCACCGCGACTAGCTTTCGAAAGGATTCAGTTGGCAAGAGCGAATTCGATCATATGATAGACTTGGAAATTATCCGGCCATCAAATAGCTCATGTACATATCCTTTGCACCTTGTCCATAAAGAGATGTAGTGGCTTTGCTTCACTAGTCGATCACCTCGATAACCGTTATTGTATTGTTTTGACACAGAGAAACGGTAACTACAATTTATTGGAGGGTAGCACGTATCACAAAGCTATAAGCACATCGAGCGATTTTGAAGCAGAGGCAAATGCGTGTGAGAGCAAATTTATAATCAAAACGAATAAGGTGCAGATAGGCAAAGCAAAGACTAATAATAGGATTAGAGTACATATATACGTGAGTAAGAGGATGATTCTTCGAGCGACATTTAACATACTAACATTTTAGCTAGAGAGAGATGTGCGTAGGTTTTCATGTGATCAAAAGTACATATTTATACAGGTATGATAGTGATCATAATAGTGCAACAGTTGGGATAACATTGTCCGTTAAGTAAGTTAATAAAGGGACTTAATCAAGATTAACCATAATCGAACTCGATTGGGAGACAGTTGCTTCAGTGACACCAACGGTTGACGTCCAAACATTAATAATTGGCGACTTATTACGCAAACCACTTCTGAATTTTCCTCTATATCACACACAGGTTGAACGACTGTATATAAAAATGCCATGTATATCAAAATTTAAGGAAAATTTTCTTAGAATTTGGTTTATCTAATTGATTATGTACTTGTTTTCTTATATAAGCCGGTTAACCAATTAAACATCTCTTAACCGTGCAGTTAAAATCTGGGAAAATTGATTAAGTTTAATTGAAATATCATGTGAACTGGTACAAAAGTAATGAATTTAATATGGTAAATAATCGTGCAACATGAATTTTTAGTAGTATTTTATACTTTCAAATGCAGTAATAATGAATTAAGTACGTACAAATTATTTGATGACGTTATATTAATTTAGAAAAATATATGGCTTATTGAAATAAATGATACTGTCTTCTCAATGAATGGACTATGAAAAAAAGAATACACAGAAAGCTAGATGAAAGTAACCAACATAAGTAATCATTGATTGAGATCATGAACCGATTGATGTTAGACCATCACAATTGAAAACCTGGAAGCACTGGACAGCCGTTTCGTCCTATTGTGGGACTCCTCAGCAGTGCGCATCCACGATCCCGCGAGCGGGATTCGAACCCAGGGCCTTCGGTCTCGCGCGTGTTATCACATGACTGAAGTATTAAGAAGTTGCTTGACATCACTTCACCATAGTAAAATGAGTTAACTGGTTCAAAAACAATTTGCATTGAAATAGACAATTCAGTGACATATATTACCTAGAAGCTATTTCAGAAAC